ACTTACTCACACCCAGCCGTAATCATACACAGACTCATTCATACCCAGACTTACTCATACACAGTATTAGTCATACTCAGACTTACTCATACCCAGACGTACACATACACAGACTTTCTCATACACAGACCTACTCATACCCAGACTTACTCATACACAGACTTACTCATACACAGACTTACTCATACTCAGCACCCCTAAGGGGGGCCGCCAGGGGTGGTTGCACGGGCTCGTTCGCGGCCATTTTGTGGGGATGTCTCAGGCGGTTTGCCGTTGTCTGTGCCCAACATCCTTCGCTTTCGGAGCAGATTTGGAGGATGTCTCGAGCGAGGCGCTCATTTCAGCACCCCTAAGGGGAGCCGCCAGGGGTGGTTGCACGGGCTCGTTCGCGGCCATTTTGTGGGGATGTATCAGGCGGTTTGCCTGTTTCTGTGCCCAACATCCTTCGCTTTCGGAGCAGATTTGGAGGATGTCTCGAGCGAGGCGCTCATTTCAGCACCCCTAAGGGGAGCCGCCAGGGGTGGTTGCTCGGGCTCGTTCGCGGCCATTTTGTGGGGATGTCTCAGGCGGTTTGCCTGTTTCTGTGCCCAACATCCTTCGCTTTCGGAGCAGATTTGGAGGATGTCTCGAGCGAGGCGCTCATTTCAGCACCCCTAAGGGGTGCCGCCAGGGGTGGTTGCACGGGCTCGTTCGCGGCCATTTTGTGGGGATGTCTCAGGCGGTTTGCCTGGTTCTGTGCCCAACATCCTTCGCTTTCGGAGCAGATTTGGAGGATGTCTCGAGCGAGGCGCTCATTCCAGCACCCCTAAGGGGAGCCACCTTGTGGGGGGGGGGATTAGGGCAGCGCGATGAGAGGACACAGGTTTGCATGGTCATTTCACCTTTTGACTTATCTAGGTTCCATTTCCCTAGTTCGATATTTGTTGAACCACTTTTTAGCCCGTTTTTATTCTTCCGACCTTCTACCGTTCTGGACGTTTTCCCTATCCTCGTCGTTTCGATTTCATACACACCGGTTACCATTTCTGGCCATTCCGTGCGCGCGCTCTACCACTCCGGTTCGCGGCTATTTTGCGGGGATGTCTCAGGCGGTTTGCTTGTTTCTGTGCCCAACATCCTTAGCTTTCGGAGCAGATTTGGAGGATGTCTCGAGCGAGACGCTCATTTTCACCCCCCAGGTGGGCCAGATTTTGAGGATGTCTCGATCGGTTTGCTAGTTTTGGTGGCCAGGCTCGTGGGCGCAGAGTCTTCTCAGGATGCCACAGGAGGCTCCAACAGGCTCCAGGAGGCTCCAGGAGACCACATGAGGTCCCAGGAGGCATCAGGAGGCCACAGAAAGACTCAAGAGGCCACAGGATGCCCCAAGAGGCTCCAGGAGGCCCCAGGAAGCTCCAGAAGGCCTCAGGAAACAACAGGAGGCCCCAGGAGGCAACAGGAAGCGCCAGGAGGCCTCGGAAGGCAACAGGAGGCCCCGAGAGGCCCCAGGAGCAGGAGGCCTCAGAAGGCAACAGGAGCGGCTCCAATCCCATGTGTTTTATTGCTCTATCGGATTGGGGCTCACCTGGAGAGCCACGATTCTTTGATGTTCTACGTATGTTTCTATAGATGGTCCTTCTCCTGTGTACACAATCCTAAATGTTTTACTCATGTTCCTATGTATTGGGCCTCTCCTGGGGCACGAGTCCTTGGTGTTTTTCGCGTGTTCCTATAGATTGCCCTTCTCCTGTGGCTCTAATCCGCACTGTTTTATGTACGTCTGTTGCTATAGATTGCGCCTCTCCTGGGGCACGAAACCTTCCTAGGAGGTCCCAGGAGGTCCCAAGAGGCTCCTGGAGACCCCAGGAAGCCCCAGTAGGTTTCAGGAGGCCCCAGGAGGCACCAGGCTCATGCACAGAGACGCGCTCGTACTACAGAGGCTCATTCACACTCCAATTCATTCGCAGTTAGATTGATGTCCAGACCGTCACAACTGAAGCCCGTTAATATTCGAAAGCTCTTGCGCCTAGACATTCACGGCGGACAGGTCCATGCGAGTAGATGCACATATGGGGAGCTCCACGCAGTGAATAATTGTTGTTGTGGTTGTTGTTGTTGTTGCTGTTGCTGTTGCTGTTGTTGCTGATGATGATGGCGACGTCGATGAGGATGGCGATGCTGATGCTGGTGATGATGACGATGATGATGATGCTGATGATGGTGATGACGATGATGATGCTGATGATGATGATGATGCTGATGGTGATAGTAATGATGATGATGGTGATGCTGCTGATCATGATGATGGTGGCAGTGATGATTGTGGTGATGCTGATGATGAGGATGCTGTTGCTGAATCTGATCATGATGAGGATGATGATACTCATGATGATGATGCTGATGATGATGATGATGATCATGATGATGATGATGATGATGATGATGATGATGATGATGATGATGGTGCTGCTGATGATGAGGATGGTGATGATGACGAGGAGGAGGCGGAGGAGGGGGAAGGTGGGGAGGAGGAGGTGGAGGAGGACGAGGAGGAGAAGGAGAAGGAGGAGGACAAGGAGGAGGAGGACGATGAGGAGAATATGGGAGATGATGACGAGAAATTGATTGTGGAGGAGATGGTTGAGGGTGAGGAGGAGGAGGAGGAGGGCAAGGAGGAGGAGGACGAGGAGGAAGGCAAGGAAGAGGAGGACGAGGAGGAGGTTGAGGGTGAGGAGGAGGAGGGTGAGGAGGAGGAGGAGATGGAGCAGAAAGAGAACCACAACGATAACGAGAACGAGGACGAACGATTCTACGTAGCTAGTCAATAACGAATTAAGTGGCCCTCTGTGCTTGCTCAGCTTTGCTGTGTAACTTGGGCCGCAACCTCGGGTCCAAGTGGGAAAGGTACTCTTGCGGGTGGCTACACTTCTTTCACGCATGGATTCGCTAGCTCACGCATGACCTAATGAACACAAACTCTGCAACGCTCACATAACCAAACATTATGTTTACGTAGCACTATCATCTTGTGACTCTCGTGCGCCCCCCCCAGCAAATCGAAGCCGCCCCCCCCCAAGGAAAGAGCGGAGCACATATCATTATACTGTGGGGGTGGGGAAGCAGGGGGAGGAGAGCCACTCACTCAGCGCTGGCCCAGTGGCCGGTCCGCAGCATTCCAAGAACCTTTCTCTCGAATCACCCAGTCGGTGGGTCGAACAGGAGGCTGCAACAGCGGACGCGGAAGGGGGTCTCTGAACCGATCGTACACCTTCCTTCCTCCCTACCACGCCCGCCCTTTCCTCGGGACCACGTTCAGGCGATCGCACACATGGGTTAGGGGGACGTTGATTAGCGACGGGTCTCATTTCCATGGGAAATCGCGGATTCCCGCCGTCGAGCGAGGCGGCTTTTTGCCGCACTCTGGGGAGGGCGCCTCCCTCGATCCATGGATTGGGCGACCGCGCGCCGAGTCCATGGGTCGCCGATCCGTGTTCGCGCGCGCCCGACCTTCGGCCTGGACCACGTCTGGGCTGGCTCGGAGCAGCCTGCCCCGGACAGCCCCAGTTCGACGCTCCCGAGGCGCACGCCCGGTGCACCACTCGGCCGCACACCCGGGCGTCGGCGCGCCGCCTCCGACGCGACCCCCTGGGCTGCGACTGTATGGGCCGACGCATGGGAGTTTTTTTGTTGTTGTTTTTTTCGTCAGCGGCGAGGCGGCGAACTCCGCTCCAGCGAGAAGCGCGATAAGGGGCACGAACTAGCGAATTGGCCTGCGAGCAAAAAGGGGGGGGGACGGCCGAGAGGAAGAAGGGACGCTCAGACGCCGAAGAGTTCGGCGAGGAGCAGCCAGGGGGCAGCAGCAGCAGCCAGGCGCGCAGGGCCAGAGCGCGGTAGGCGGTCGTGGCGAACCGACACACATGGGAGTGAACACGCAGCATGACAATTTTGTTCTGGCCGTTGCTCCAGCAACGGACGGATGCGCAGCCAAACGTCTGCATCCTGACCTGTGGGTCTGTCGAGCCCTGACATGTCAGCATCGTATTCTGTGACGCAGCAAAGTTGCCACTGCGAGGACCGCAAGGCTACTTCAACAGCGCGTAGAGCTCTCGCCACCGTCTTGGCGTTTGCTTGGCAATCGTCTCCATACCATGGCTTGAACAACAACTGGATCGAAAGCAGATATAGCGGCGACAGATAATCCACACCTGCGACGTCGCGCGTCTCCAAACTTTTTAGTTCCGCTACAGTCGCCCACAACAATGAGAGGATATGTTCTAGTGGTTTGCCCGAAACATCCCGAGAACTGCGAATCACACCCTGAGCACCACCAATATGCATCGTCGGGCGGAGGGGGGACGTGAGTAGCATCCGCAGTGCCAGAAACAAGGTTCAGCTCACATCAGCCTCCAACATTTTCCTCACATCCCCAACCTCGATGGAATGCCGTCTCGGATTCCTTGCGACATCGGCGGCACAAATCGACAAAGGTCGGATCACGCTCTGCTTTAACCTGGCTCTAGGCCATATGCTGCCCACTGCAAAGGTGCACATCAGTTCGCTAAGTCTCTCATCCCTTCCATACCCTCTTCGCACCCGTGTGAAATAGCGTTCCTTCAAAACTTGAGGTTAATCGAATCGGTCGAATCTTGGAGGAGCGGGGCTGGGGAATCTTGAATGAGGCCCCCTCAACAATAGCTTACTCAGGGACCCTCCAAACCTCCAGATCCCAGGATGATTCTCAGGAGCCTTCCAGGAATCATGAATTTTCCGACCTCATCCCTCTTCCAACAACTACAGAGCAACCGCCCCAGATTGACTCCGAACGTGTCGAGGAGGAAAAGGGGGATGCGGCGGAGGAGGCGGATGAGGCGGAGGAGGAGGAGGAGGAGGAGGAGGAGGAGGAGGAGGAGGAGGAGGAGGAGGAGGAGAGGAGGGGGAGGGGAAGGAGGAGGAGGCGGAGGAGGAGGAGGAGGACGAGGAGGAGGAGGAGGAGGAGAAGGATTTGGAACTCCCTGCCCCAACAGGACGACATGAGCGTGCAGAATACGCTCGCGGCCGTCACGCCCGCCCTCAGGCCCCTCCAGCGCCCGCGGTGCGCTTCGGCGCGGGTCATCTCCTTCTCGTCCTGCAGGGAGAGGGCCGGGAGGGAGGGTGACGGGAAGGGGAGACTCGTTGATTTTATCTGTTCGTTTGCTTGCTTGCCGGTTTGCCTGTCTGCTTGTCTGGCGTCCTTGTGCACGCTTCCCTTCGCTGCTGCCCAGCACTTGCTACGACCGTCTCGCACGTTCGCCGGTTCCGAAACTGCGACGGTTGTTGGCTTGTTTGCTCGTAGGTTTTCCGCTTTCGCCAGCGCGGGCCAGTTGTCCTCGAGGAGTTGCGGGAGAGGGAGGGGGAGGAGGATGGATGGGGGAAGGGGGGAGAAGGGGGAGGTGGGGCTGGGGGGGAGTCGGAGGTCCAACAGTGTGGGGGGGAGGAGGCCCGGGCTTTGCCGGGGTGCGCTTCGGGGCGATGTGCTGTCAGCACGGACCAGCTCCCCCCCCCTGTCCTTCAGCACGAGGCAAGGGGGTGGAGGGCGAGGCTTTTTTTCCCCATATCCCGAGAAGGAGATCTTGTTATTACCTGGACGCCTCCTACTCCTCCTTCCTCTTCTTCTCCTCATCCTCCTCTTCCTCCTCCTCATACCTAGACTTACAGACTTACTCATGAACAGACTTACTCATACTCAGACCTGATCATATTAACTTACTCATACTCAGACCTACTCATACTCAGACCTATTCGTACTCAGATTTACTCATGCTGAGACTCACTCATACCCAGACTCACTCATACTCAGACCTTCTCATTGTCTGACTTACTCAACACACAGTAGATGGTGAGGGTGTCTCAGGCGGGGTGCTGGTTTCAGCACCCCAAGGGGAGCCGCCAAGGGGTATGACACGGTCCCGTTCGTGGCCGTTTTGTGGGGATGTCTCAAGCTGTTTGCCTGTTTTCTGTCCCAACATCCTTAGCTTGGAGAGCAGATTGTGAGGATGTCTCAGGCGGGGCGCTGGTTTCAGCACCCCTAAGGGGAGCCGCCGAGGGGTATGACACGGTCGCGTTCGCGGTCGTGTTGTGGGGATGTCTCAAGCGGTTTGCTTGTTTTCTGTCTCAGCATCTTTCGCTTGGAGAGCAGATTGTGAGGATGTCTCAGGCGGGGCGCTGTTTTCAGCACCCCTAATGGGAGCCGCCGAGGGGTATGACACGGTCCCATTCGCGGCCGTTCTGTGGCGATGTCTCAAGCGGTTTGCTTTTTGTTTTATTTTTTTTTTTTTTTATTGTTATTATATTTGTTTTTTTTTTTGTTTTTTTTTCTTTTGTTTTTTTTTTTTTTTTTTTTTTTTTTTTTATTTTTTTTTTTTTTTTTTTGGTTTTTGTTTTTTTTTTTTTTTTTTTTTTTTGGTTTTTTTTTGTTTTTTTTTTTTTCTTTTGTTTTTTTATTGTTTTCTGTCTCAACATAATTCGCTTGTTTTCTTTTTGTTGGAGTTTTTTGTGTTTTGGGAGTTTTTTTTTTGTTGATTTTTTTCTTTTGGTCTTTTTTTTTGGAGAGCAGATTGTGAGGAGGTCTCAGGCGGGGCGATGGTTTCAGCTACCTAAGGGGAGCCGCCAAAGGGTGCCTTTCACGGTCCTTTCGGTTCGCGGTTTTGTGGGGATGTCTCGAGGCGGTTTTATTCTCGTCGTGGCGCGCCGGACCACCCCTCCCCTCCTCCCTCTCTGCAGTAGACAATGATGATGATGATGATGATGATGATGATGATGATGATGATGATGATGATGATGATGATGATGATGATGATGATGATGATGATGATGATGATGATGATTGTCATAATGATGATCATGGTATGGTGAGAGTATGATGTGAGTATGATGGTGATGGTGAGTGATGGACGAGTATGATAATGATGGTGATGATGGTGATGATGGTGATGATGATGATGATGATGATGATGATGATGATGATGATGATGATGATGATGATGATGATGACGACGATGATGACGATGAGCAGATGAGGAGCATGTCTCGAGTGGTTTGCTGGTTTTAGCTCTCCTAAGGGGGGATCGCCAGGGGTATTGCACGGCCTCCGTTCGCGCCCAAATGGCGGGGATGTCTCTGGCGGTTTGCCTGTTTTGGTCCTCAACATCCTCCGTTTTCGGAGCAGATTTTGAGGACGTCTCGTGCGAGGCGCCTCCTGAGGAGGGGCCGCCAGGGGTATTGCACGGCCTCCGTTCGCGCCAACATGGCGGGGATGTCTCGAGCGGTTTGCCTAATTTGGTCCTCAACATCTTCCGCTTTCGGAGCAGATTTGGAGGATTTTTGAGCGAGGCGCTCATTTTCACCCTCTAGGTGGGCCAGATTTAGAGGATGTCTCGATCGGTTTGCCTGTTTTGGTTGCCTGACTCGTGGGCACAGATTCTCTTCAGAATGCCACAGGAGGCTCCAAGAGGCTCCAGGAGGCCTCACGAGGCTACATGAGGTCCCAGTAGGCATCAGGAGGCCACAGAAAGACTCAAGAGGCCACAGGATGTCCCAATAGGCTCCAGGAGGCCCCAGGAAGCTCCAGGAGGCCTCAGGAGTCCACAGGAGGCATCAGGAGGCCACAGGAAGCGCCAGGAGGCCTCGGAAGGCAACAGGAGGCCCCGAGAGGCCCCGGGAGCAGGAGGCCTCAGAAGGCAACAGGAGTGGCTCTAATCCCATGTGTTTCACGTATGTTCCTATAGGTTGGGCCTCACCTGGAGCACGAATCCTTGATGTTACACGTATGTTTTTATGTTTTGTCCTTCCCTGTGTACACAATCCTAAATGTTTACCTATGTTCCTATATATATATATATATATTGGGCCTCTCCTGGGGCACGAGTCCTTCGTGTTTTACGTGTGTTCCTATATATTGCCCTTCTCCTGTGGCTCCAATCCGCGATGTTTTATGTACGTCTGTTGCTATATATTGGGCCTCTCCTGGGGCACGAATCCTCCCTAGGAGGTCCCAGGAGGCCCCAGGAGGCCCCAAGAGGCTCCTGGAGGCCCCAGGAAGCCCCAGTAGGTTTCAGGATGCCCCAGGAGGCCCCAGGCTCATGCGCAGAGACGCGCTCGTACTATTGAGGCTCATTCGCACTCCAATTCATTCGCAGTTAGATTCATGACCAGACCGTCACAACTCAAGCCTGTTTATATTATTCTTGTGCCTAGACATTCACGGCGGACAGGTCCATGCGAATAGATGCACATATGGGGAGCTCCACGCAGTGAATAATGGTCGTTGCTGCTGTTTCGCTGGAGGCCTCCGGGGACTTACCAGGACCTCTGTGGGGACTTCTGGGGGACGTCTGTAGGCCAGAGACTTCTGGCTGACGACGTCGGTCTCTGGAAGCTTCGGAGGCGTCAAGAGGAGGAGGGAGGAGGAGGCGGAGGAGGAGGAAGATGATGATGATGATGATGATGTGGAGGAGGAGGGATGGTCGGGGTTTCGTAGAGGGGGGGTATCCCAAGGTGGGGTTAGTGAACATACCCAGCCGGACATTCACATTTCCTTCTTGCACGGGCTGTTCTGACAGATGTTCCTCTGACCCCACCTCTGCCTCTGCCCAACCTTTATGTCCCGCCGAGATGGGAGGGAGGAAGGGGATGGCATAAGGCATAAGCATGAACTTTCGGAGCTCTGCGCGGCTTTCTTGGATCTGCGCTGGATCCCCCTGGCGGCGCTGGGGGGGACCCAGCGCCAATCCAAGAACTCCGCGCGGACCTCCGACAGTCGATCCTCCTCGATCGTCCCCGATCCTCCTCGATCCTCCTCGTCCTCCGCCTTTTTCATGACGCCCTGCACCTGCCCTGACCTTGCTCTCTGATTCGCCGTCTGCTCCAGGTCAGTCCTCCGATTGGAGTTTTTAGGGGCGCGTTGCTTACTCGAGTCCAAGGCGAATATCCTTCTCCTCTTCCTCCTCGGTCGGTCGGTCGTCAGGCAAGAGGGTCGGCGCATGTACTCGGGGAGATGGCGAGCAAGAGCAGGATGCAGATGGCGGCTACGAGAATCCCCCAGGTCCACAAGCCCGCACGTGGGCAAGACCCAAGCCAAAGCAGCTCCTCCTCCACTCTCTCTTCCTCTTTTCCATCTCTCGCTCCTCCTCCTCCTCCTCCTCGCCCCCCATCTCCTCCCCCTCCCTTTCCTCACCCCCTCCCTCTCCCTCCTCCCTCTCCCCCTCCCTCCCCCTCCCCCTCCCACTGCCCTTCCCCTCCCCCTCCATCTCCTCCTGCCCGTCCTTTTCTCCTGCCCGTCTTCCTGTGCCCCCCGCCTCCCGCCCGTGCCCCATCTTCCCCACCCTGGCCGCAGGCGGGACTTCATGGTGCTGGAGCTGCGGGACAACCTCCTGGCCGCCGAGCGGAAGAAGCTGCTCGCGCGGTGCGGCCGCCTGGCTGGGCCTCCTCTTCGCCCCCAGGGGGGGGATCGATCGAGGGGGATCGAGGGAGATCGAGGAGGATCGAGGAGGATCGAGGAGGATCGAGGAGGATCGAGGAGGATTGAGTAGGAGAAGGAAGACGAAGGGCCCTCGTGCGTGGGGAGGCGCATGAGGCGGAGGAGGCGGAGGGGGAGGAGGGAGGAGGAGGCGGCGGAGGGGCGGAGGAGGAGGCGGAGGAGGAGGAAGGTTGTGCTGGTGAGTATGGTGAGGATGGTGAGGATGGGAGGAGGAGGATGAGGAGGAGGAGGAGGAGGAGATGAGGAGGAGGAGTGCGGAGGAGGAGGAGGCGGAGGAGGAGGAGGCGGCGGAAGGATTGAGGAGGATTGACGAAGATCGAGGAGGATCGTGTGTACGCCAGGGAGGCAAGGCGGACCATGGGCGCGCCGCGAGTGAGGCCATCACGGCGGGCACAAAGGTTTTCTGGGCAGGTTTTGGTTTGGGGGCTTCGCCAAACAAGCCGACTCAGGATGAAATAAACAATCAAAGATGATCTAGGAGGAAACCGGTCCCGGGGAATGGGGTGCATACCTTGTGGCGCCCGCTGTGAAGGACAGCACAACGTCGGATGGTCTGAGGGAGGAGGAGGGAGGAGGAGGAGGAGGAGGAGGAGGAGGAGGAGGATGGAGGAGGAGGGAGGAGGAGGAGGTGGAGGAGGAGGAGGAGGAGGAGGGAGGAGGAGGAGGAGGAGGAGTGAGGAGGAGGAGGAGGAGGAGGAGGAGGAGGAGGAAGGAGGCGGGGAGGTGGAGGAGGTAGGGGGGAGGAGGAGGCGGAGGAGGAGGGCGGAGGTGGAGGAGGAGGGGAGGTATGAGGAGGAGGAGGAGGAGAGGAGGTAGGAGGAGGAGGAGGGAGGAGGAGGAGGAGGCGGAGCGAGGTGGCGGAGGACGTGAGAAGAAGAAGAAAAAGAAGAAGAAGAAGAAGAAGAAGAAGAAGAGGAGGAGGAGGAGGAGGAGGAGGAGGAGGAGGAGGAGCAGGGCGGGCGGGGGGACGATCAGGAGGTGGGGCGGGTTGGGGGGGGCGAGAGGGGCCTGGGGCTCCCGGGCTGCTCCCGCCCCCTGCCCTCCTCCCCCCTTTCCTCGCCCCCCCCTGCCTCCCCCCCTGCGCTGCTCCTCCGCCTGCCCCGCGTCCCGCTGCCGCCCGCCTACTCCTGCCCATGCATCGAGGAGAATCCCCCAGGTGTCACGACAGGATCGTGCACAGGGGGGGGGGGCAGGCGAGGATGGAGCGGGCTACCCGCCCGCCGCAGCAGGGCCCTCGGCCCTCGGCCCTCGGTCTTGCCGCCGCAGCCGTCCACGGCGCTGGCTGCCGCCCTCCTCCCCCTTCCCCCCTTCCAGTCCTGCGCGGGAGAGGAGGGGGCGGGGGGCACGAGGAGGTCGGCGCGGGGCTAGCCGCCAGGTTGGTGTATTCTGGTCGGGGTGCTGCTGGAAGTGCGCATGGCCCAGGGATTGGAGGGCCAAGCCAACCTGCCTCTAGAAGACCAACATCTGGGGCCGATGCCACGTACCGTTCCCTCGTCCCAGCCCAGAGCGTCTATGGACACGTTGGGTGCCGTGACGTTCACAGACACTTTAAGGGTGGATGCGTCTTGGGACAACGTGGCCGTTGCTTTCGGCGCGGTGCAGGGTCGGAGAAAGAGCACATCCGTCTACGGTATGGTCCAGTTCCTCCTAGCAGGTCCCCCATGGTGCTCCAGCCCAGGGTGCCCCCCAGGATTCACATGGAGGCCCCCACGGCCCCCAGGGCACCCCGCACGAGGCCCAGCGGGCCCCATAATCGGGGGGCTCCGAGACGGAGCGAGCAGCAAGGGGGCGCCTTGGGCCCAGGGGCACCCCTTGATTGGCAGCCCCCGAGCGGTGGGTGGAGGATCCGGGCGCGGGTGGCCGGCGAAAGCGGCAACGCCGAGGGGAGGACAGTGCCATTTTAAATACATGCTCCGCGTGCGGATCATGTATTAAACATGCAGGGATTTAGTATTAAAAGCAGCGATGAGTTCTCGCACACATTTATGCATACATTCGTCATGTATAAAAAAACTATTTTCAAAAATCCTATGTATAAAAAACTGCCCTGTACGACCACGTCGTGCAGAAGACGGGTGCTCGATGGAGTCGGGCCTGGGGGCCCGCCGCGCTGCCCACTAGGTGGCCGTCTTCGGACGTTTCGCGCGTGTCTGTCTGTCTGCCTGCCTGCCTGCCTGCCTGCCTGCCTGCCTGTCTGCCTGCCTGCCTGCCTGTCTGTCTGTCCGTCTGTCTGTCTGTCTGTCTGTCTGTCTGTCTGCCTGTCCAGGGTTACATCGGGCATGGTTCAAACAGTGTCAAGGTAGAGGGTGCAGGGTTTAGGGTCAAGGGCTGTCTGTCTGCCTGCCTGCCTGTCTGTCTGTCTGTCTGTCTGTCTGTCTGTCTGTCTGTCTGTCTGTCTTCTGTCTGCCTAGGGTTTAGGGTCAAGTCGGTCCAGGATTCGTCGACTATTTTTGGCTATTTTGGAGCATTTTCATTGTAATTATTATTTTATTTCTTATATATATATATATATGTACATATATATATATAGTTTTCGCCCAGAATCCCCCTGCAGGGGGACCCCTCGGCGGGGCTGCGCCCCTGCTGGGCGGCTGCGACGGGCGGGGCACGGCGGGCTCGGCCTCGAGGGCGCACGGGCGCCGCAGAGGAAGCGCGGGTGCTCGGAGGTCCGCGCGGGCTCCTCCTGCCCATGCCAGAGGTCCAGGCGCTGCAGTTTCTTCGCGCTGGCTCCTGGCCCCCGTGGACCAGGAGCGGTCGGTCGATCCGGCCCGAAGCGTGCCGTTTTGAGGCAGGGCCCAGGGTGCCCGTCGTGATTGTTCGCGATGTTGCACTTTTGTCACAACCTCCTCCTCCTCCTCCTCCTCCTCCTCCTCCTCTTCCTCCTCCTCCTCCTCCCCCCCGCCCCCCCGCCTCCTCCTCCTCCTCCTCCTTCTCTTCCTCCTCCTCCTCGCAGGGATACACAAGCATCTGGGCCCTGTGGTGGTGTACAGACCCTCGTGGCCTCGGCCGGGCGGGCACGTCATGCCAGGGTCGCTGGAGGCCCCGTCGCGGAGGTGCGGGGGAAGGAGTTCCCCCGACCTCCAACGTCGTGCTCCACTCCCAGCGTGGCCCCCCTAGAGTTGTGGAAGTCGATAATTGGAGGGGAGGCATGTTGCCAAATAATTTCCAGATGTCCAAAGGTGTTTCAAATAATGTTTTAAATATGTTTAAAACATGTTTAAAACATTTGTAGAACATGTTCTACACAGTTTAAACACATCTTTAATTCAATGATAGCATTGTTAGAGTGTCTATTGTCATGGCATCCACAACCCTAGAGGTCTGGACCCCTTCCCGGGATCCGGCTTTCGTCCCGGGTCGTTCTTCAGTGGCACCGTGACGGGTACTCACCAACGGGCACTCTGGAGATCTGCCGAAAGTTGCCATTTTGGGGCCTCTTTCTGGCACTGCAGCGTTCCCCACATCGGGGATGGAAGGCTGGGTTCGCCAGGGCACCGGCCAGAGTGCCCGTTGGTGGAGAGTCCCCGTTGGAGGGGTGCCGAGTTCTCTGACGGTCCATGGGCCTGGTAATGTGGGGGCCCATGCCAAGAAACGCCCTGCTTGCCTCCAGAGTGCCGTGGGTTTCTTGGGTTTCGATGGTCTTCCCGCGGAGAGCGCGACGCTCCCACACCAGAAATCAATGGACGTCTTGGGGTCTCAGGGGTGGGGGTTTCTTGTGGAAGGCCTCTCGTGGTCGGGCCCCCACTGTAGTCGTCCTGTGGAGGACGAAACTGGCCAACAACAGAGGCCAACAACAGACTCGGCCCTCCGCTTGTTTTTTGCCACGCCGCGGGGGCTGTCGGCGAGGCGAGGCGCAGCTGCTGCTGGGAGGCGCGCTAGAAGCTTCTCTGTGGAATCCATGGGCGCTCCACGCTCCATAGGGACTCGTCTTTAACATTTCACAGGGAAAACTAGATTTTCTGTGCAATCGAGAGGCGCTCAGCCTTCCCTAGGAAGCCCCATCCAGCTTTTTCCAGCCGTCCCGTGGTGCTGGTTTCTCGTCTTGAAAAGACAGCGCCCCGCGCTCCTCCGAGCGAGGCCCCGTGCGACCGTGCCCGAGAGAGAGCGAGAGCCCCGCCCGAGGGCGCCACGGACTCTTTTGCACTGCGCGAGGAGTTCTGGGTCCAGCGCTGGCTCGGTCGTTGTCGTTGTCGTTGTCGCCGTCGTTGTCGTTGTCATCGTCGTCGTCGACATCGTCGTCGCCGTCGCCGTCGTCGTCGTCGTCGTCGTCCACGTCGTCGTCGACGTCGCTGCTCGACTGCCGGCGCCGGCGCTGGCGTTTGCCGTCGTCCGTTGCAGGCCCCCCTCGGGTTCGAAGCCGTCTCGCGCGGCCTGCGCGTGGGGAAGCCGAAAGGTGCCGATGCCGCCACTCGCCGATGCCGCCACTCCCGGGGTGCGTTAGGGCCAGGCTTTCGAGGCGAGTCCAGCGGCGGCAGCGATGGCCGCCCACGAGGCTCACCAAGGGGGAAGACGAGGCACGGTTAGCGGTATGGGTATACCTATTCCTCTTCTCAGCGCGCGGGCCGACGCGCAGCGGGCGGCGAGGTTCCCGGCCAGCGACTTCAAGCGGGTCGCCGTCGTGGTCATGGGCGAGCCGTCGAAAGAGTACAAGGCGCCGGGCCGCCAGTGAGGAGGAAGGGAGGCCTTCCTCCTCCTGCTCTCTCCTCCTCCTGCTCTCTCCTCCTCCTCCTCCTCCTCCTCCTCCTTGTCCTTGTCCTCCTCTTCCTCCTCCTCCTCCTCCTCCTCCTTCTCCTTCTCCTCCTCCTTGTCCTCCTCCCTCCCCCCTCCCTCCCTTCCTCCTCCCTTTTCCTTCCCTCAGCCGCCCCCCAGGGAGCGGGGCCCGAGGCGGGGCGGCGAAGAGTCCGAGCCCTGCCCCCTCGCCGAGCCACGATATGCAGGCACCTCGAGGGGCATGTACCGGTTGGAAGCATGTCCCTATGTTTGCCGTCACCTCCCCTCGATGCTCGGGGGTGGACAGCGTTTTCGGTTCTCGGGAGGGTGTCCGGAATTTACCGGCTTGAAGCATTTTTTTGATTTTTATTTTTGTTTTTTTTTTTTTATTTTTTTTTTATTTTTTTTGATTTGGTTTTTGAAATTGTTTTTTTTTTTTATTTCTTTTTTTTGATTTGTTTGTTTTTTTTTTTTTTTTTTTTTTTTTTTTTTTCTTTGTTTGCTTTTTTTTTTTTTTTCCCCACTCCTTTTTTTTTTTTTTTTTTTTTTGTTTTTATTTTTTTTTTTTTATTTTTTTTTTTTTTTTGTTTTTTTTTCTTTTTTTTTTTTTTTTTTTTTTTTTTTTTTGATTTTTTCTTTTTTGTTTTTTTTTTTTTTTTTTTGAAGCATGTCCCTACGGTAGGTTTGCGTCGTGTCGACCAGCGGCGACCCCAGCGCGGGCGTTCAGGGTTAGAACGCCGCCGGCGACCCGGAATCGATCGATGTTGAACGATCGGACGTTGCGGCAGCGGCCGATCGTTCAAGGTCGAACGATCCCTGCGGTGTCAAAAACCAACGCTGGGGTCGGCACGACACGAACCTATCGTATGTTTGCCGTCGCCTCCCCTCGATGCCGATCTTGAGGCTTCCCTCGGTTGCCGAGGGCCCGTCCCCGAGATGGCGCTCGCTTTCCGTGCGCCCATCTTGGGGATACAAGGGCTCCCTCGAGGGCGCGAAGTTATTCGCGCTTCGCGCTTCGCGGTCCTCGTTCCTTCTCCCCCTCCTCCTCGTCCTCCTATTCTCCTTCTGGGAGGGCGGCGCGAGAGCGCGAAGTTATTCGCGCTTCGCGCTTCGCGCAGCGCGAAGCGCGAAGTTGGGAGCCCTAGGGGACAGGGGATATGTTCGAGGCTGGTCCGGAAACGTGTCGAGCACGTGGCGAAGTCCGAGGCCCACCCCCCGCCTCCCATCGTCGATGCGGGAGAGTCGATGGCTGGCGGGGGGCGGGGTTCGGACGTCGCCGCCCGACGGTCTTCAGGAGGGGAAGAGACACACAGACACGATTCATCGTCGACTCTCAGGAAAGTGTGGGAAACTATGGGAAGTGGGGGGGAAGACAAGAACCCAGAAAATGTGGGGGAATGTGGGGGATCCTTTTTATTTGTGTGTATATATTTGTGTGCCCTGGGGCCCCTTCAAGTCTGCCAATTTTTTGGCCTCCGCCCCTCCCTGGGCCCTGGGGCTGTCAGGCAGCGGCTCAGACAGCTGGTCCTTCGGGGGAGCTCCCCCCGGGGTCTAGGACCCGTGGCCCTCAGGTCCCGGTGCCCTCGTGCCACGAGAGGAATCCGGAGGGAAGCAAGAACGCGCAGACACGTGTGCTCGTCCGGTTCTCGGGAAACATAGAGGGAGATATGGGAAGTGTGGAGGATAAGACGAAATCCCAGAAAATGTGGAAACATGCAGGGCATCCGGGGTTGTGTGTGTGTGTGTGTGTGTGTGCGTGCGCGTCTTTTTTGTTTTTTTTGTTTGTGTGTGTGTGTGTGGGTGTGAGAATTGCATGTGCGCGCTCCTGGACCTGGTTCCTGGCAGCTGCAGCCCGCACCCCCTCCGCCCCGGTGATCTGAAGTGCCGCCTGGGCCTCTGCTTGCCGGCGCGTCAGGCAATCAGGTTCGCGCGCGGCCCACCCGTTCCGTCACTCGCCGCCTGTGCTCTCGCTTGCGGCTGCGACAAAAGTGTGTGTGTGTGTGTGTTGTGTGTTGTGTGTGTGTGTGTGTGTCCCTGGGCGCCTTCAGAGAAGATCGAGCCCCTGCGCGGGCAGCAGCTCCTCGGGGGCCCGCGCGGAGCTCTCTCTCTCTCTCGGCGCGGCGCCCCGGTGGGCCCTCCCCGGGAGCGGCGTGCCCTCGGCGCCGCACCCCGGCGCGCGCTCGCCCCGCGCGCCACGGGGCAGGGGCCCAGCGCCGAGTCCAGGAGTCCGCGCAGGCCCGTGAGACAAGGGCGCCCCGGATGGCGCGAGGTGATTCGCGCTCCGCGCTTCGATCGTCGGCGCGTTCGGCAATGAGGCTCGCGCGCGGCCCGCCCGACCCTCGACGCGGCTGGCGCGCTCGCCCGCGGCCGCGACGAGGAAACTTCGCGCTTCGCGCTTCGGCTCCGATTCCTCCTCGTCCTCCTCTTCTCCCCTGGGGGGCGGCGCGAGAGCGCCGAGTTGTTCGCGCAGCGCGCGGCGCGAAGCGCGAAACTGGGCGCTCTTAGTGGAAGTTCACGCATGTGCCCTAGGTCACCCGAGGGGGCGCGACGACAGTCAGCGCAGACTCGGTGAAAGTTCGCGTCCACGCGCTGGTCGCTGCAAGCAGGTTTTTCTGTATTCCGAGGCCCCGATCTACAGTGCCGTTTTTAACACATGCTCCGCGTGCGGATCGTGTATTAAATCTAGGGATTTCGTAGTAAAACCAACGATGAGTTCATGCAAACATTTATTCATACATTAGTAATGTACTATAAATCCGATGTTTTTAAAGTCATATGTATTCAACTGGGTAGTCGAAGACCAGACTGTCAGATTGGATTGGGCCCCAAGGGCCAATCTGGCCTGGCCAAACTGGAGGATTGGGGTTATTCGCCAGACTGGATTCGCGTTGGCTCCCTCGTCAGATTGCCCCCGTTTGCCAGATTGGGCCTGCCAGATTGACGCCAGATTGGCTTCGACTACCCAGTTAAAAACTGCCCTGTGCTCTTGAGGCGCCGTCCTGCCTCCAGAGCCCAGCGGTCTCCCCGCCTCCTCCCTCTCCTTGGGGCGGGCGGCGGCAGCCCGACCTGCTTCCGGCGCCTGCCTGCTCTTGCGTCGGGCATGCCCCTCCACGGGAGGAATGCTCGAGGCGTGCTGAGGACGATCTTTCCGTGCTTTACTATGTCTATTTATCTATCTGTCTGTCTGTCTGTCTGTCTGTCTGTCTGTCTATCTATCTATCTGTCTATCTGACTGCTGCTCGTCTTTCTTCCAAAATCCGCTGCAGGAGGACCTGCCCGACCTGATCCTAGTTTCTCATGCTTCTGCCCGCCTCTTCCGACCGACGGGCCTGCCCAAGCTCACCCGAGGGGGCGCGACGATGGCCGTGCTCCGCGCATCGCGGCCCGAGCTGGAGGGCCTCTGTCGGAGAGGCGCCCCCTCCCCGGACGGGAGGGCGGCTTCCCGGGGCGCGAAGGATCGGCGTCCCCCCAACATCTTTATACTAAGTGTTCGTCGCCCCCCCAGGGGCGACGCGCGCACCGAGAAGTCTTATAGTATATGCGTCGTGGCGGGCGCTTCCTGGCCACACCGCTCGAGAAACGATATACTAAAAGATGGGTACGCTATATGTTCGGATCGGACGCGCGCCTCCAAGGCGGATTAGTATGTCTCTGCGCGTCCCATCCCCAGGCGGGAGGGCGGCTTTCCGGGGCGCGAAGGAGGACCGCGCGAGTCGCGCATGCGATGGCCCCGAGTGCGCCCCGGACCCCCTCCTCGGGGCATGAAAATTCAACGACCAGGGGGGTCTGTTGCCATTTTTTCGGCCTTTGGGGGCCATCGCCGGGCCTCGGGGCCGTCAATAGAAAACGACGCAGGACGACGACAACCCGGCCCTGGGGGATGGGTCGAGACCTCTGAGGGTGGACGTCATGAGCAGAATCATGACGTCGGGGGTCTGGGGCTTTCTTCGGGTTGACCCAGAAGGGGATCCAGCGACTAGGGGGTGGTGCAAAAGATTTGGTACAATCGATTTGTGGGGTTGCACTAGATTTGGGGCGTGCAGTACATTCTGGGGCGCAAATGTATTGCTGGGTTTTCGCGTGTAGTACATTAGTTGCAATACAATGCGATCCAATTCTCTGGCGCAATACATTTGCAATACAATTGTCCCAAATCTATTGCACCACCCCCTTTGAGTTGGACCCCCTTTTAGGTCGCAAGGATTTCTCTCTTTCGGCTCCCTCCGCTTCCACTGACCTTTGGACGACCGCCCTCTGAACGAACCCTCTCCGCGAAGCGATTTCGTTTGAGTTTTGGGCGAACGGGAGCGCCCTTTTCATCGATATCCGGTGTGCCACGGCCTCCCCGGCTGCGCTCTCGATATCGGAGGCCTAGAGGTTGGCACTGATCTTACGTACCTGCGGTTGTCTTCACGGAGGGAAGGAGGATCCTGATCTCGGTATGGGTTGTCAAATTTGGGCTTCTTACGGGGCTGAGATATTACGGCCAGAGCCAAAATTCAGGATCATCTTCCCCCGTGGAGGCAAACCCTCTCGTTTTTTGGCCTCGCAGACTCAAATCTGATCTGAATTCTATCCGTCTTGCCTCCCACGCGTTGGGAGCGTGGAGGCAATCCCCTGTGATGGTGTTGGTGCCAATCCTCGGCGGCTCGCCTGGGGGAAAGGTGAGAGGGGGCGGGCCGTCTCAGAAGGCGGCGGGACGCCTTCTCAGAAGCCCGCTGGCCTCTGAGAAGCCGCCCGTGGATTCGGAGAAGTCCCAGAGGAGGAGGAGGAGGAGGAGGCGGAGGAGGAGGAGGAGGAGGAGGAGGAGGAGGACGAGGAGGAGGAGGGGGAGGCGGAGGAGGAGGAGGAGGGGGAGGCGGAGGAGGAGGGGGAGGAGGAGGAGGAGGAGGAGGAGGAGGAGGAGGAGGAGGTGCGCGCGCGGGCTGCGGGGCCGGCCGAAGGAGAAGGTGCAGGCGCAGCTGCTGTCCGAGAAGGTGGCGGCGGCAGAGAAGGAGAGCGGCCTTTCCGCATCCTCTCAGAGGGGGAAAAGATACCCATACCGCTACAGTGCTGTTTTTAATACATGCTCCGCGTGCGGATCATGTATTAAACATGCAGGGATTTAGTATTAAAAAACAACGATGAGTTCATGCATACGTTTATTCATACATTCACCATGTATTAACAAACCAATATTTTTTAAATCCCATGTGTTAAAAACTGCCCTGTACCATTTCCTCGTTTTCGCCCTTTTGGACCTCCTGGAAGGCCTTCGTCACCACTGCTAATCCATCCTCGGCCGAATCGGGGGCAGGGGTAACCCCTTGTCTCCGGGCCGCCGGTGGTAACCCATCGGCGGCCGAATCGGGCGCAGGGGTAACCTCTTGCGTCTGGGCTGGGGGTGGTAACCCATCCTCGGCCGAATCGGGGGCAGGGGTAACCCCTTGTCTCCGGGCTGCCGGTGGTAACCCATCGTCGGCCGAATCGGGGGCAGGGGTAACCCCTTGTCTCCGGGCTGGCGGTGGTAACCCATCGTCGGCCGAATCGAGGGCAGGGGTAACCCCTTGTCTCCGGGCTGGCGGTGGTAACCCATCGTCGGCCGAATCGGGCACACGGGGGAAACTTGGATCCGGGGAAAATCGATTTGCCGTCGGGGAATGCGCGCGCTGTGGCCACGGCGGCGATGGCGCCGAGGAAAATCGATTTGATTTCCCCGACCAGGGGGAAGGGGAGGAGCGCGCGGAGAAGAAGCAGGGGGAGGACGAGGACGGGGAAGGGGTAGGGAGGGGGTGATGATGAGGAGGAAGTGGAGAAGGAGGAGGAGGAGGATAAATAGAAGCAGGGTGAGTATGTAAGGGCAAAACGGCGGGCGAGAGGAGAGCGTCCGTCAGGGCGAGGAGGAAAAGGGTAAGGGCAACCTAAACATATTCTCATGTGGGTCCTTCCGTCGGAGTAATTCCCAACCATCCTGTGGTGTTGGGTCCTCGTTTTGAAGAGACGGTGCCCGCGTCCTCTCCTCTCCTCCTCCTCCCCCTCCTCCTCCTCCTCCTCTCATCATCAGCATCATCATCATCGTCATCGTCACCGTCATCATCAGCAGCATCATCATCATCATCATCATCATCATCATCGTTCTTATCACCATCGTCGTCATCATCATCGCCGTCTCCATCATGGCCACACGTTTCGTGGACCCATAGTGAGCTCCACCGAAGGCCCCAGTGTCAGGGTCCGCATGCGGTTCCACCTCCATTTCGGCGCACCCCTCACACGTTTCGTGGCCCCATAGGGAGCTCCACCGAAGGCCCAAGAGTCAGGGTCCGCATGCGGTTCCACCTCCATTTCGGCGCACCCCTCACACGTTTCGTGGCCCCATAGGGAGCTCCACCGAAAGCCCAAGTGTCAGTGTCCGCATGCGGTTCCACCTCCATTTCGGCGCACCCCTCACACGTCTCGTGGCCCCATAGGGAGCTCCACCGAAGGCCCAAGTGTCAGGGTCCGCATGCGGTTCCACTTCCATTTCGGCGCACCCCTCACACGTTTCGTGGCCCCATAGGGAGCTCCACCGAATGCCCAAGTGTCAGGGTCCGCATGCGGTTCCACCTCCATTTCGGCGCACCCTGACACGTTTGGGCCCCATAGGGGCTCCATCCGCAGGCCCCAGTGTCGGGTCGCATCGGTTCCACCTCCATTTCGGCGCACCCCTCACAGTTTCGTGGCCCCATAGGGGCTCCACGAAGGCTCAGTGCAGGGCCGCATGCGGTGCCACCCGAAACTTGGTATACCCCTCATACGTTTCGTGGCCCCATAGGGAGCTCCACCGAAGGCCCCAGTGGCTGCGCTCGCATGCGGTTCCACCCCCCATTCTGGCACACCCCTCACAGTTTCGTGGCCCCATAGGGAGCTCCACCGAAGGCCCCAGTGGCTGCGCCCGCATGCGGTTCCACCCCCCATTCTGGCACACCCCTCACACGTTTCGTGGCCCCCTAGGGAGCTCCACCGAAGGCCCCAGTGGCTGCGCCCGCATGCGGTTCCACCCCTCATTCTGGCACACCCCTCACACGTTTCGTGGCCCCATAGGGAGCTCCACCGAAGGCCCAAGTGTCAGGGTCCGCATGCGGTTCCACCTCCATTTCGTCGCACCCCTCACACGTTTCGTGGCCCCATAGGGAGCTCCACCGAAGGCCCAAGTGTCAGGGTCCGCATGCGGTTCCACCTCCATTTCGTCGCACCCTCCACGTTTCGTTGGCCCATAGGGAAGATGGCACTACTGGCAGCGCCTGCCGAAATGGACAGGGTCACGCATGCGGTTCCACCACCATTTCGGGCAACCTCACACGTTTCGTGGCCCTAGGGAGCTCACGAAGGCCCAAGTATCAGGGTCCGCATGCAATTCCACCTCCATTGCGGCCGCACCCCCTCACACGTTTCGCGGCCCATCGGGAGCTCCACGAAGGCCCAAGATGGTCAGGGTCCGAGCGGTTCCACCTCCATTTCGGCGCACCCCTCACACGCTTCGTGGCCCCATAGGGAGCTCCACCTGAGGCCCAAGTGTCAGGGTCCGCATGCAGTTCCACCTCCATTTCGGCGCACCCCTCACACGTTTCGTGGCCCCATAGGGAGCTCCGCCTAAGGCCTAAGTGGCAGGGTCCGCATGCAGTTCCACTTCCATTTCGGCGCACCCCTCACACGTTTCGTGGCGTCATAGGGGGCCCCGCCTAAGGCCCAAGTGGCACGGTCCGCATGCAGTTCCACCTCCATTTCGGCACACCCCTCACACGTTTCGTGGCCCCATAGAGAGCTCCGCTCCCAACATCTGTGTGTAGGGTCTTCGATTTGAAGAGACGGTGCCCCCGGTACTCTCCTCTCCTCCTCCTCCCTCCTTCCTCCTCTCCTCCTCTCTCATCATAAGGCCATCATCATCATCGTCATCGTCACCGTTCATCATTAGCAATCATCATCATCATCATCATTCATCATCATCATCATTCATCAATCATCAATCGTTCATATCACCTATGTCGTCATCATCATCGCCGTCTCCATCATGGCCCACACGTTTCGTGGCCCTAATGAGCCCACGAAGGCTCCAGTGTCAGGGTCCGATGCGGTTCACCTCATTTCGGCGCACCTCAACGTTCCCGTGGCCCCACACGTTTCGTGGCCCCATAGGGAGCTCCACCGAAGGCCCCAGTGTCAGGGTCCGCATGCGGTTCCTCCTCCATTTCGGCGCACCCCTCACACGTTTCGTGGCCCCATAGGGAGCTCCACCGAAGGCCCAAGTGTCAGGGTCCGCATGCGGTTCCACCTCCATTTCGGCGCACCCCTCACACGTTTCGTGGCCCCATAGGGAGCTCCACCGAAGGCCCAAGTGTCAGGGTCCGCATGCGGTTCCACCTCCATTTCGGCGCACCCCTGACACGTTTCGTGGCCCCATAGGGAGCTCCACCGAAGGCCCAAGTGTCAGGGTCCGCATGCGGTTCCACCTCCATTTCGGCGCACCCCTCACACGTTTCGTGGCCCCATAGGGAGCTCCACCTGAGGCCCCAGTGTCAGGGTCCGCATGCGGTTCCACCTCCATTTCGGCGCACCCCTCACACGTTTCGTGGCCCCATAGGGAGCTACACCGAAGGCCCCAGTGGCAGGGTCCGCATGCGGTTCCACCTCCATTTCGGCGCACCCCTCACACGTTTCGTGGCCCCATAGGGAGCTCCACCGAAGGCCCCAGTGTCAGGGTCCGCATGCGGTTCCACTCCATTTCGGCGCACCCCTCACACGTTTCGTGGCCCCATAGGGAGCTCCACCGAAGGCCCAAGTGTCAGGGTCCGCTGCGGTTCCACTCCATTTCGGCGCACCCTCTCGTTTCGTGGCCCATAGGGAGCTCCACCGAAGGCCAAGTGTTCAGGGTCGCATGCGGGTCCACCTCCATTTCGTCTGACCCCTCACCGTTTCGTGGCCCCATAGGGAGCTCAACGATGGCCAAGTGTCAGGGTCCGCATGCGGTTCCACCTCCATTTCGGCGCACCCCTCACACGTTTCGTGGCCCCATAGGGAGCTCCACCGAAGGCCCCAGTGTCAGGGTCCGCATGCGGGTCCACCTCCATTTCGGCGCACCCCTCACACGTTTCGTGGCCCCATAGGGAGCTCCACCGAAGGCCCAAGTGTCAGGGTCCGCATGCGGTTCCACCTCCATTTCGGCGCACCCCTCACACGTTTCGTGGCCCCATAGGGAGCTCCACCGAAGGCCCACGTGTCAGGATCCGCATGCTGTTCCACCTCCATTTCGGCGCACCCCTCACACGTTTCGTGGCCCCATAGGGAGCTCCACCGAAGGCCCAAGTGCAGGGTCCGCATGCGGTTCCACCTCCATTTCGGCGCACCCCTCACACGTTTCGTGGCCCCATAGGGAGCTCCACCGAAGGCCCAAGTGTCAGGGTCCGCATGCGGTTCCACCTCCATTTCGGCGCACCCCTCACACGCTTCGTGGCCCCATAGGGAGCTCCACCTGAGGCCCCAGTGTCAGGGTCCGCATGCAGTTCCACCTCCATTTCGGCGCACCCCTCACACGTTTCGTGGCCCCATAGGGAGCTCCGCCTAAGGCCTAAGTGGCAGGGTCCGCATGCAGTTCCACTTCCATTTCGGCGCACCCCTCACACGTTTCGTGGCGTCATAGGGAGCCCCGCCTAAGGCCCAAGTGGCACGGTCCGCATGCAGTTCCACCTCCATTTCGGCACACCCCTCACACGTTTCGTGGCCCCATAGAGAGCTCCGCCTAAGGCCCAAGTGGCAGGGTCCGCATGCAGTTCCACCTCCATTTCGGCGCACCCCTCACACGTTTCGCGGCCCCATAGGGAGCTCCACCGAGGGCGCCAATGGCAGGGTCCGCATGCAGTTCCACCTCCATTTCGGCGCACCCCTCACACGTTTCGCGGCCCCACAGGGTGCTCCACCGAAGGCCCCAGTGGCAGGGTCCGCATGCAGTTCCACCTCCATTTGGCGCACCTCTCACACGCTTCGTGGCCCCATCGGGTGTTCCACCAACGACGATACTTACAACGGCGGCATTCGGAATTGCGTATGGTTGGGCCCTTCGCCAGGATAATTTTTTAATGAATTGAGTGGCCGCTCGTCATTTTAGCACTCTGTGTTGCCAGCGCCTTCAGGGGCGACTCCGTTCGAATCGTTCGCGGAAAAGGTGGTGGCGAACTAAGCCAGTCCCCGTCGCCGCTGGGGCATGGTCCGCTTTTGCGGTGACTGATCCTCTCCGGTGATATTGACGATGGTGTTGATGGCGATGATGTTGTTCTTGATGATGGTGGTGATGGTGATGATTTTGATGACGATGGGGGACGGTGATGCTGATAATGGTAAAGGGGGGGGAGGAGGAGGAGGAGGAGGAGGAGGAGGAGGAGGAGGAGGAGGAGGAGGAGGAGGAGGAGGAGGAGGAGGAGGAGGAGTAGGAGGTGGAGGAGGAGGAGGAGGAGGAGGAGGTGGAGAAGGATGACCAGTGTGAACGCAAGATTCACTAACGATGTTGGAATAGGCCCCCCCTCCTTGCTCCCACTTTCAGAGTCCCCTAAGTGGATTCAGTTCAAGTAGGGGAAGTGCCCCGTTGGGAGGCAGCCGCTTGAAGATCCAGAGGCGTTCCAAAAGACCATTTTCCAGACCCCAGCGCCACGAATCAACCTGATTGTGTCGTGTTGACGATCCTCAACCGTGTCACTGCACCATATTTCTGATTCCAATACCACAAATCAACGTAACCGTTGCGCCCTAAAAATTTCTGATACATAATTTCTGGTAGGTTGACCATGTGCATCCGCAGCATTTTTTGATCAAGCATTTAAAACGAGTGAGCTCCGCGCTATGGCGAGAACCGCGTTTTCGAAATCACCAGCCCTAACCCGTGAAGTTCTTGCACATTTTTAGGACGAGTGGGCGCGGTTCTAAAGCGAAACCGCAGTTGTTGGAAACCTTCCGCACGCAATCCTTGAAACCTTTGCACCTTTTTAAAACGAGTGTGCCCGGCGGAAAGGCGAGAACCACATTTTGAAAACCACCCGACCTCCATCCGTGAAACTTTTGCAGGTGTTTTTTTTACGACGAGCGTTCGCGGTATGAAGGCGAGAGCCACATTTTGAAAACGTCCCGCCCTCATTTGTGAAACCTCCTCGATTTTTTAAGACGAGTGTGTGCGGCGCTCAGGCGAGATTCGCATTTTCAAAACCTCCCGCCTTCCATTTTTGAAGCTGTTGCCGTTTTACGCTTCAGGATCATCCGCGGTAAGGAAAATTCTGGCGAAACGTCCGGCCCGCCCTTCCGACTTCCGAGTGGCTTGGGGTTGCGACAGGGAAGAGTTGCCCATGAGGAGAAGGAATAGAAGAGTAGGAGGAGAAGGAGGAGGAATGAGGAGGCGGAGGAGGAGAAAGAGGATGAGGAGTAGTAGTAGTAATAAAGAAAATAATGGCAAGACGACGAAGAAGCCGAAGACAAGTAAGGAGAAACATAATCAGGCTACGCATAATACTATGAGTAATGCCAACAACAGTAACTATACGAATAATAACACTTACGAAATATGTAACTACTAAGGATACGGATGAGGTCAATCGTAAGATCAAAAGTGCGAATGACCGTAATGACGGCGCTGTTTATAGTAACAAGAAGGAGACGAATACTATTCATAGTACTAAGAGCAATACTAATCCGAACATGACTCTCCATGGTAAACATGGTAAGCATATTACCAAGAGTACTCATCGCACTAATTAGAAACTATGGAGAGGACGAACACCAGGTTACTAGTAACAACAAGAAGACACGTATTCATACGTTTGAGAAAGCATTTTTTAGTAATGGCGATAATCATAAGTAGAGTGTTACCAACCATGCTAGCTTATCAGTAACGGTTATACTTGTAGTAACAATACTAGCAACACGCATCTTACGAATGATACTAGTACTACCCATGGTTATATGTTAACAGTGGCGTTATTAATGCTAATACTACTAATCTGCATACCATTAGTTTTAAAACGACGAATGGTAATCAGACGAAAGCACGAACTATAAGCATACTGGCAATACTATCATTTTTACTATGATTCTTCTGATGAGTGTACATAGTAACGGTACTAGTGCGAATGATAATTTCAACAACATGGATAAGAACAGTATTATTACGACTAATACTACAATGCAGCATCAGGAATAAGTATGCGAGCGCTGACAATACTGTGCCAGTGCTGATCGTACTTAAGCTATTCGTACCACTACTAATAATATGACCAGGCATTTTAATATTTTTGATATTTATCGTACTACGACGAAGCATAACATACGGGCTAGTGATACGAAGGCTTCCAGGGCACTACTACTACTAATAGCAATAGGAATAGTGACACGACTAATCGTATTAATACTATTTTCATAAGCGGAAGGCGACTGATACTTGTAGTAACCATACTAATATTAGTGCGGCAAATAATAACAGGAGAAGGAGGACGAGGAACAGGAGGAATGATGGAAGAGGCCCCCGACGCCCGCGCGCAGGAGAAAGCGAGGACGAAGAGGGAGAGGGAGGCCCCCGCGCCGCTTGCCGGGCTGGATGCATGTGCGGCAATGGGCCCGACGACGACGACGAGAACGACGACGACGGCGGCGACGAGCGCGACGAGGGCGGCGAAGAGTAGGGCGACGACGACGAGGAAGGGAGGGAAGAGGGGAGGCTGAAGAAGGAGGGGGGAGGGCGGAGGGAGGAGAGGGGGCGAGGAGGAGGAGGAGGAGGAGGAGTAGGAGGAGTAGGAGTAGGAGTAGGAGTAGGAGTAGGAGTAGGAGTAGGAGGAGGAGGAGGAGGAGGAGGAGGCGGGACGAAGAATTGGAGGCCTTCCGATCCGCCGCCGCCTCCCCCCTATTCCGCATCCCTCCCTCCTCGCGCGATTTGTCCCTTTCGCACCCCGAGGCGTTTTCGTTGGGCGGGCCAGGCGTTCTGGTGGAGACTTCCACAACTTGTGATTCGGAAGCTTGTTTTCGCAGCATCAACAAGGATTGACCACGGGGCTCCAGCTTTAGTGCCTTAGCACCGTGCACATCTGTTGTACATTCTTGTAACAGTTACAGGGATGGAACTCAGGCGGCTTTCAACGTGGGCCCTCGCCACTACACGGAAGGGGCACAGGTGTTTTCCAGCATTGATCTCTCGCCTTAGCGCCGTGCGCATTCACTGTCAGCGTTTACAACAACGAATATGATGGAGGGATGACGCGCACGGAGGGTGGTTCTTTTGCAAACTTGCAATCGCCTCAGCACCGCGCTTGTT